CGGCCCCGCTCAGGCAAGTCACCGGGTGCGGCGGAGGGAGCGGGGGGGGCCAGCCGCGGCGCCGGGCAGCAGCTGGGGGGGAAGGCAGCCCAGCGGCGGCCGTGCAAACCCAGGTGGGGGAGCAGACACCATATGGGCAGGTATCGAACGGCTAGACCAGTCGATGATACCAGCCTTGACGGGGTCCGTGGGGGCTGACATTGGACAAGCAGCAAAAGGCTGCAAGGAGAGAAGCGTGTCACACGTTGATGCAGTCACCACACCACTGGGGGAGCCGGTGGAGCGGGCGAACACAGCGGTAAGGCGAAGCGCGGAGATTTGGTGACTTATGAGGCGCGGCGGGAGGCGTGAAGGGCGAAACGCAGACTGCCACACACAGACACACACACACACACACACACCCATACCCATTCGGGGGGGGTCAGAGAGAGGAGGACTGGGTATGGGTATGAGTGCGGGTTACCCTAGGAAAGGCTCCCGTTCGAGCGGGAATCCCCATCTGACAGTGGATGTGTGTCATTCGTTCGTCATCGATGTCGGTTCAGGCCGGCTCGATCCGACTCGATTCCGATATTCGGCGGCGAGCCCAGGGGCTTCCTCCGAAGACAGAGACGGCTCCTTACAAGGCGCGAGGGTTTCTGAGAAGCCCCCCCGCCTTTGAGAAGGCCTGCCCCTTCTCTCGGGGAAACGTAAGACTCGAGTACGCCAGAATTCGGGTTTGCCGACGCTTTTTGACGAGCGCGTCATGGATTCTGACGGTCCGGTTTTCGTGAGATGTTTGCAGCAGGAGGTCGCGTCAAAATTTCAGATTGGGTCTCGTCATTTGCATGATGGCCCCGTCAGGCCAACCCGAGTCCTCCGAACCCAAGTCTCCCCTGGACTCGCCGCTGGACCCCTCCCTGGGTCCATCCGACGCGGTTTCTCACCACGGATCGAGTTTCGGAAGTCTCGTGGCCCGATACCAGCCCTCAGAGGCCGAAAAGAATGAATAAACGCGTCGAACCTCGAACCTCGATGCGTGGACTCGCCGCCGAGATGCTCCCGCGACCCGGTGCGTCCCGCTGCTTGGCACTGCGTTGCAGTGCTTCTCGGCGGGGCCGATCTCCACTTCCCCCGGGGCAGCGCTTCGCCCCGACGAAGCACCGACATCCACGAAGTCGGGAAAGGTCAGGGTGAGGGGGCCGAACGGTCATTCATTGTCCCTGGGTGCGTGGCTGAAGTTGGCTTCTGCAGTGCGGATTGTTGTTGAAGTCTCATGGCTGAAAAGAAGTAGTGTTGCTACCCCTCTGGGGGCACACTGTGTTTTCTCAGTTGAAGTGCCCTTTCCTGGGGCTCGCTCAGGGAAAGTCTTGGGTCTCAGAATTTGGTTGTTGGCCCCCGGTTTACAGAAAATAAAAATAATTTTAAGATTGTTCGCCCTTATATGCTCGAGTATCCAATAACGCGTATTTCCCAAACCCTCGATAACCGCCCTCTTCGTCTTCGATCGAACCCCTTTTGGGGGGTACACCTTTCTTCCCTGCAAGCCGGGCCCCGGCAAGCGGCGGGGCGGCCGCGGACCGTCGGCCTGGCCAGCGGCAGCGCTGATCGGCGGGGCGGCCGCGGACCGTCGACCCGACCCCAAGAGGGACGGACAGGGGACCGACCACGACGACGACGACGACGACGACGACGACGTCGAAGACGACGGCGACGACGACGACGGCGACGACGAGCGAAAGCGAGAGCGAGAGAGAACGACAGCAGGGCCACGACGGGCACGAAGTAGGCCACGAAGGGCGACAGCGGGGACACGAAAGGAATGCGTATGGGGCCACGAAGAGCGCGAACGAGCGGGGGCCACGAAGTGCAGATGATGCGGGGCCACAAAAGGCAACTATGGGGCCACTGAGGGTAGCAACTGGGCCACGTAGGACAGTGAGGGGGACACAAATGGCGACAGCGGGGCCACGAAGGGCACGCACGTGGGGCCACAACGGGCGCGACTCCCGGGTGCCTGGGTGTCGGGAGCGCGGCGTTTGGGCAAATTGCAGGAAATTCCAACGCAAGGCTATTCTTCAGTAAGTTGCAAGCATGTCTCCAGCGCGAGACTCCAGAGCGCCGGGAGAGCGATTATAATAAATTGTAAGGAAGTCCCAAGCGAGAGCGCGATTCCTGAATAAGATGCGAGGAAGGCTCGGGCGGGAGCGGGGGTCCTGGCTAAATTGTCAGGAAGTCTCAAGCGGGAGCCGTTGTTGTTGTAACCCGGGGGCCAGGGGGCCAGTTTGAGCAGGAAGACTCTCCCTGTCAAAAAACACGGTGCGAGCGTCGAGGGCACACTTTGATTGAGAAAAAACAGTACGCACCGGTGGGGGGGATCAACAACAATTATTCTTCAGAAGTGAGAATTCAACAACAACGGCTCCCGCCTGAGACCTCCTCAGAATTATTCCCGTATCGCGCTCTCCCGCTGGACGCCCGCACAACTCATACAGGAATCGTGCTCTCTCGTGGGACTTTCTCGCAACTTGTTCAGACGCCGCGCCCTCGATACTCAGGAATCGCGCTCTCGCTTTGGCCTTTCTCACGGTTTACTTGGGAATCGCGCAATCGCTCGAGCTCTCCTCGCAGTTCATGCAGGACGCACGCTTAAAAAAACGCCTTCTCGACCTTGCCGCCTGGGGCCGCTTTCCCGACCCGCCAGAGTCTACCCGCCCGCCTGGTTCTGCCACGCGTTTTCTGCTCCTAGCCCCCCTCATGCCAATCCCGTGCTCCATCCTTCTCCCTCCCCCATTGCCCCTTCCTACCATCCGTCCCCTCTTCCCCTGCCTCACGGGCTGCACGAAATATACGTTGTAGGTAAGAAAGAGATGTACCCCCAAGAGCGTACGATCGAAAACGAAAAGGGCGGGTATCGAGGGTTTGGAATGTACGTGTTAAATGGCACGCGAGCATATAAGAACGAACAGTCTTACAATTGTTGTTGTTGTTGGTGGTGGTGGTGGTGGTGGTGGTGGTGGTGGTGGTGGTGGTGGTGTCGCTGTTGGTGTTGTTGGTGCTCCCCCCCCGGGCTCGCACCATGTTTTTTGATGAGGGAAAGTTGGGTGCCACTAAACTGGGCCCCTGGCCCCCTCACAAGTTAGTCCCAGATCGCGCTCTCGCGCGGGACTGCCTCACAAGTTATGCAGGAATCGCGGTCTCGTGTGGGGTTTCCTCGCAATTTGCTCAGACGCCGCGCCCTCGCTCAGGAATCACGCTTTCGCTTTGGCCTTTCTCACGGTTTACTTGCCAATCGCGCAATCGCTCGAGCTCCCCTCACGATTCATGCAGTATTCACGCTTCAGTAGCACGCCTTCTCGACCTTGCCGCTTGGGCCCGCCTTCTCGACCCGCCCGTTAGGGTCTACCCGCCCGATGGGCCCGTCTGGCTCTGCCACGCGTTTTCTGTTTTTAGCACGCCTCCTGCTAATCCCGTGCTCCATCCTTCTCCTTCCCCCTTCCATGCGTCCTCTTTTCCCCCGTTTCAGGGGCTGCACCAAATACACGCGGCAGGTACCAGGAGTGCACGATCGAAGACGAAGACGGCGGGTGCCGAGGGCTTTTGATATACGTGCTGAATGGCACCCGAGCAGGTAAGAGCGAACAGTCTTTGAATGAGTGCTGCTGTTGCTGAGGTCACTGTTGCGGCTGCTGTCATTGTTGTTATTATATGTTTTGCTGGTGCTGGTGCTGCTGCTGGTGTTTGTTGTTCGTAGTTCGGTGTGTGTTGGTTGTTGTGTAGTGCTTTTGTTGTTTGTTGTTTGTTGTCGTCGTCCTGCCCGCGACCCGGCCCGCGACCCATCCGCGACCCACCCGCGACCCACCCCGCGACCCACCCGCGACCCACCCGCCACCCACTCCGCGACCCATCCCGCGACCCACTCTGCGACCCACCCGCGACCAACCCTGCGACCCACCCGCGACCCACCCGCGACCCACCCCGCGACCCACCTCGCGACCCACCTCGCGACCCACCCCGCGACCCACCTCGCGACCCACCTCGCGACCCACCCCGCGACCCACCCCGCGACCCGCCCGCGACTCACCCGCGACCCACCCGCCACCCACCCGCAACCCACCCGCGACCCACCCGCGACCCAGCCGTGACTTGCCCGCGACCCACCCCTCGCCTGCTTCCCCACTCATATCCGCAATTGCGAGGTGCTACATACCCATACCGCTACCCTTCTTTCGTTTTCGCTTTCTTCGGCCTCCTGAGAGGCCTTCGTCGCCACCGCTGGATGCGCCTCGAAACCATTGTCAGAACGCACCCTGGGGGAGGTCTGGGGAGTAGCGATATCGGTATCTTTTGGCTTTCCCAACAATGGGGTCGTTTGCGCCGACACTGGCGCGTAAGTTACCCGCGCGAGGTCGCGCGTAACCCTCGCCTCCAACGTGGCGTGCCGCGCTGTCGGCCCGCGTAAGCTAGCGCGCAAGGTCGCCGTGTCGTCTCGCGCAAGACCCGGCTTTGAACATCGCCCAGCTGATGGAAACCACATCGTCGGGGATTTGGGTACGGTAGGTTTGCGTCGTGTCGACCGGCGGCGACCCCAGCGCGGGCGTTCAAGGTTGAACGCCGCCGGCGACCCAGAATCGATCGATGTTGAACGATCGGACGTTTCGGAAACGGCCGATCGTTCAAGGTTGAACGATCCCCGCGGTGTCAGAAGCCAACGCCGGGGTCGACACGACGCGAACCTGCCGTAGGGGGCCACATGCGAACCCTGCCCCTACGCCCCACGATTTCTGAGGGGGAGGGCGGGGTTCACTTCGGTCGGGAGCTCCCGAGCGAAGTGCACCTCCCCCTCCCCCTCAGAACTCGTGGGGGGTAGGGGTAGGGTTCGCGTGTGGCCCCCTGTTGGGGTCGTGGCGGCGAGGGGGCCTCCCCGAGGGGCATCGGACAGCTTCTGCTCGCGAGGGGGGCGCCCGTGGTGCAGCACCGATGGGCCCCCGCGGGCCTCCAGTGCGCCGCCGCCCTACCAGGGGCTCCATGTCCTCGCCGTCCCTGAAGAACGCCGGCATGAACCTGGCCATGTGAGCGCTCCAGGGCACAGCTCGACCACACTCGCCGAGCGCGTTCCACTACTCGCAAAGTGCCTACTCGCAAACGTCCGAAAAACACATGTCTGCTTCGATGTAATTTATCGTAGATCCCCCGCGGCGGATCGAGGCCATTTGCGAGTACTCACTTTGCGAGTAGTAGAACGCGCTCGTCTAAGGAAGAAACATAAGCATAAATTTTCTGGTGCTCCGCGCGGATTTCTTGGATCCGCGCTGGGCCCCCCTGGCGGCGCTTCCGGCGCCGCCACTGGCGCGCTCTGCGCGCCAGGGAGGAGGGTCCAGCGCAGATCTAAGAAATCCGCGCGGAGCGCCAAAAGTTTATGTTTATTGCGGTTCTTTCTTTAATGCAAGAGTGACCCTTCGCCGGAGTGACCTTTGGTGCAGGCCCAGTGGGGCCGCCTGATCGCCGAATGTGATGCGGTAGTGCAGTCGACCCTGCCAAATCAAGGGTGCCCTTGTTCCCTGTGTTTCGCGACCCATGCATTCTTACATTCCTGTGGCAACGTGGCCCCCGCAAGGGTCTTGTGTCCTCTCGCGTGCCCTCTCCAATCAAGTCCCACTGTAGCGTCTTGCGCGCTTGTGTTTGGTCCCCCCGCGCCCCCCCCCCCCCCCCCCCCCAAAAAAAAACGCGCACCAAAGGTCCCTGAGTTGGGAAACATACTCGCTCTTTTCACCACTTGTTCCTGCCCCCCCCCCAAAAAAAAACGCGCAGTGGAGCCGCGCGGGCTGGAAGGGCTTCGTGTTCGGTCGCAAGTTATGGGAGCCTTGTGTTAAGTCGGGCAGGTCATTCTACAGGAGGAATCTTCTAACAGATGTTCAAAAATAGTCTGGGGATGATCTTTCTGTTATGATTTGACTATGTTAAAGCATTGTTTAAGTATGTTTCATTTTTCGTCCAAAATCCATCCGCCCGTAGGGGGGCATGCCCGACCTGAGCCCCGTGTGCCATCGCACTTCTAGACGCTTCGCCTAACCCCACCAACCCGTCCCCAAGCGATGCCCAGACGAGTTGTCCCGATCAGAAATGTGGAGTAGAATGCAGTGGAGCAAGGGTCGAGATAAGACGTCGTAACCCAAGAGGGGGAGGAGGAGGAGGAAGAGGAGGAGGAAGAGGAGGAGGAGGAGGAAGGAGGAGGGGAACGTGGAAAGGAACGACGAAGAGGAGGAGGAGGAGGAGGAAGAGGAGGAGGAGGAGGAGGAGGAGGAGGAGGGGGTGAGGAGGGGATGTGAGGCAGCAGGGAGGAGGAGGAGGAGGAGGAGGAGGAGGAGGAGGAGGAAGCGGATAAGGAGGAGGAGGAGGAGGAGAGGAATGGGAGGAGGAGAGAAGGAACCGTAGCGATTTTAACTCAAGGTCGTCCCCAACTCCTCGGGGATCTAGGCCTTGGCCAAAATGGCCTCCGCGGGCGTTCCTCTCGAGGCCCCCGGGCCAGCGTTTGTGCTGTGATGGCCCCGCCTCGTGCGGCGGTCGCGTGCGGCCCTCTTGTCAAGAAAATCGACGGCAAGGGAATTCGGTTCTGGCGAAAAGTGTTTGCTGGAGACCAAGTGTAACGAAGTTGTCCATTTCCTGGTCAGGGACACACCTGATTGTATGTGAAGGGAGGAACCGGGACCGCGTCCACTTTTCTTCGGCATCGTGCTGCGCTCCAGCGACCGTGTCGTCAAAATGCAGGAAGCGTGAGTCCCGGATCAGGCCTGCGTTTCTGAGCTTGCTTGGACGTTGCAGCTAGTTCTACAGTGCTACAGCAGGAGGGGGAGGAGGAAAATGGAATGCCTCTCGGAGGTTCCTCGGACGTCGCTTGGAAGTTTTTTGGAGGCCTCTTGGGGCGTCTTGGGGGGGGCATCTTGGCGGGCCAAAGGCAGTCTGTGAGCGTCTTGGATGCCTCGGGGATCCTCTGGAGGCCTCCTCGGAGAATCTTGCTGGGGCCCAATTAGGGCGCTCTGGGAAGCCTCGGGGGCGCTCTTGGGGCCATCTTGGAGGAGATCGATCGAACAGGGGGCGTATTCAAGTAGCCTTGCCCTTCTAGAGTGCCTGAACTCGCCTCGTGGGCCCTATATTGGAGCTCTATCGAGCCGTCTCGGGGCTCTCTCGGAGCCCCCGTGGGTCCTCTTGCAGCTGTCTCGAGGCCTCGGAAGGCCATCGAAAGTAAAAAGGCGAGAAGGCCAACATCATTGAATTTCTTGACGTGTTTGAAGGGGTTTGGCCTCCTGGGGGCCCCCCTGGAAGTCTCGGAAGCTCATCGGGACCGTCTTGGAGCGTTCTTGGGGCCCGTCGGAGCATGTCGGGAGCCATCTTGAGGCATCTTAGGTTATATTGAGCCATTGGGGTGGTCATCTTGGGCTCCCCGAGGCCCTCTCGGAGCCGCCACGGGCGAAACAAATATCCTCTGACACCTCGCGAGGCGCCCCCTCCAAGTCCAGGGGAGGGGTGGGGGGAGGGGCCAGGCTACCCGCCCGCCCGCAAGCCGTCGCGCTCACCCCCACGGGCCTTCCACACACACACACACACACACACACACACATACGTAACACCCGGATGTCAGAATATCGCACAAGAGCGCCGCAGACGCCACGGGTTCGGAAGCCTCTCGCCGGCTTTGAGTTTTCTTGTCCACTGTTGGAGTCATTGAAAGGCTTCGGCAGTCCATCGGAAACGAGGAGGCGAAAAGGCAGGCCACTGATGTGTCCAACCAGTCGGTCGACAACCTGCGCCAATAAGGCAAGTGGGATCTGCTGGCGACCCAGCCGCCCCTGTAAAATACCAATACAAAATGGTCGCGGGGCGGCCGCGCATGCTCCAGATGTGGAGGCGTAGTGCGTTTTGTACTGATGTTTGATCAGGGTGGTGGGGGGGGGCTCATGGGGTTAGCACGGTTCCAGGTTAGCCGCCAGCTGGGTGGGGGAGGGGGCGCTTGGGAACAGCGATGAACCCTTCCCCGAAAGGGAAGGAGGGGGTTGGAAAAGAAAACTCTCTAGACCACCTACGCTCAGAGGGTTGCTGGGACTCCGTCTCTCTAGGGTGCGCTGGCGTTTACCAGCGTCTGGCAATCGACGGGATAACGTCGACCCAGCGTCGATTCGCAAGGGCCACGAAGACGGCACGGGGGCCCCCATGAGTTGCCGCCGAAGCTTCGCGCGGGGCGCCGCCTGCCGGTTCGCGGATTGGTCGCACGAGCGCTGTTTGTTTCTCTCTCTCTCTCTCTTTGTCTCGCTCTCTCTCTCTCTCTCTCTCTCTCTCCTTTTGTTGTGTTCTCTCTCTCTCTCTCTTTATCCCTCTCTCTCTCTTTCTCCTTCTCTTTCTCGCGCTCTCTCCTCCTCCTCCTCCTCCTCCTCCTCCTCCTCCTCCTCCTCCTCCTCCTCCCCTCCTCCTCCTCTCCTCCTCCTCCTCCTCTTCTGTTCCTCTTCCTCCTCCTCCTCCTCCTCCCTCCTCCTCCTCTCCTCCTCCTCCTCCTCCTCTTCCTGTTCCTCTCCCTCCTCCTCCTCCTCCTCCTCCTCCTCCTTCTCCTGTTCCTCCTCCTCCTCCCCTCCTCCTCCTCCTCCTCGTCCTCCTCCTCCTCTGCTCTTCCTCCTTTTCCTCCTGCTCCTGCTCCTGCTCCTGCTGCTCCTCCTCCTCTCCTCCTCCTCCTCTCCTCCTCCTCCTCCTCCTCCTCTCCTCCTCCTCCTCCTCCTCCTCCTCCTCCTCTCCTCCTCCTCCTCCTCCTCCTCCTCCTCCTCCTCCTCCTCCTCCTCCTCCTCCTCCTCCTCCTCCTCCTCCTCCTCCTCTTGCTCCTGCTCCTCCTCCTCCTCCTCCTCCTCCTCCTCCTCCTCCTTCTCCCCCTCCTCCCCCTCCTCCTCCTCTTCCTGCTCCTCCTCTTCCTCCGCCCTTGGCGCGTTCCCCGCGCGCCAGGCAGGGGGTTCCGGTGCCGATCCCAGATATCCGCGCGGAGGTCCGAAAGTGGGTACAGCTGGACCGAAGTAGAAGACCCATGTCGGTTCGGGCAGGGTACCGTAGTGTTCTTCGTGGTTGTTGGATGTATTGTGCACTTTGGGGAGGGCACCGTTGGATGTTTTGTGCGCCTTGGCCGGCGGAGGGTCTCGTGTTCTCGAGGAAGGTTCTCTTGGCCCGGTCTGGCGGGACACAGTTTGTTTTCCTCTCCACGGTGCGGTGACCACCGTGTGGTGATCGGCGGCGAGCGAGGGGGGGAAGTGAAAAGGACAAGGCCTTCTTAGAAGGCGGTGGGACTTCTCAGAAGACCTCGCGCCTTGTGGGAAGTGTTTTGTGCCTTGTGGGAAGGCCCCGAAAACCTGTCAGAAGGCCGGGGGGGCTTCCGACGCTTCTGAGAAGGCCCGCCCCTTCTCACTTCCCCCCCGTGCTCGCCGCCGAGGTGAGTCCGTGGAGGCGCGGGGGCCGCACACAAAGCCTTTGGCCTCGGGCTGTGCTCCGGGGACGCGCTGCGGGCGGAGGGAGGGAGGAGGGTGGGGGGGAGGGGGGATGGAGGGAGGGATGGATGGAGGGAGTGAGGGAGGGAGGGGAGGGAGGAGGGATGGGAGGAGGGAGGGAGGGAGGGAGGGAGGGAGGGGAGGGGAGGAGGGAGGGAGGAGCGAGGAGGAGGAGGGAGAGCAGGAGGAGCAGGCGGAGGTCCCAGAGCGGCGCGGGCGGCGGGCCGTGCGGTTGGCTCCGTGGAGCGCTCGCGTTCACCGCACCGGGCCGTCGCCGCACTCTCTGGGGGCCTGCAGTGCTCCCTCGTGCGGGGCCCGAGCTACTCCAGATTTCGTACTAAAGGGAGGGGGGTCTCATTTCGGGGGGGGTCTCTTCCAGGCTATCTTGGAGGGCCTGGGGGGGTCTGGGGACGATGTTTTGGAGGGTTCTCCCACGGGGGGGGTCTGAAATGGCTTGTCTTGGAGGGTCCTGCCCCCTCCCTTTTTTTTGCGAAATCTGGAGTAGGCGGTGTTGTTGGGCGAGTTCGAGGGCCGTGTTCGTTCTGAGTTTCGCTCCGCAGT